AAGTTAACGGGGGCCAAACGGAAGCAATTTAAAACTTTGTCCATAAAGTTGTGCTTACATGGCACATCATAATAAACCATCCATATGCATATTAATAACTCACAGCGAAGTATATACTACATAAGGTTCTGTACATACAGGATCATATAAGTCTAAGTCAACCCATCACGACTATATACAGCATATGCAAAGTCTTCGCCAACATGACAGAATATAAATACATAACAAAGGGCGAAGACGGGTCTCATGCATGAGACACAAGGCTGACTCTCCCAAAACCTTTGTTGTTCCACATAGACTTCACTGGGGCTGGGTTTGGACTTCTCTGGGCTTACCTGCAAACACATAAATGAGCGTGAGCGATAGCCCAGTGAATAATATCAAATTAAGAAGTTATACAAACGATATGTAGAACAACATGCTTCAAACGGCCTTGAGCCCAATTCATATTTCTATTTAACATATATATACACAACTTAGGTCAAGTGACTGCGGTTCCGAACAAACTGGCCTTTGGCCCATTTAAACTTTCATTTGTGTCAAAACGGCCTTTGGCCCATTCAAATGACAAACTGGCCTTTGGCCCATTCAAACTTTCATTTGTGTCGAAACGGCCTTTGGCCCATTCAGATGACAAACTGGCCTTTGGCCCATTCATTCGTTCATGTCGAAACGGCCTCTGACCTATTCATTCATGTCAAAACGGCCTCCGACCCATCCATTCATGTCAAAATGGCCTCTGGCCCATTCATTCATGTCAAAACAGCCTCCGGCCCATCCATTCATGTCAAAACGGCCTCTGGCCCATTCATTCATGTCAAAACAGCCTCTGGCCTATTCATTCTATTATTCAGATCAGACTGGCCTCTGGCCCACTCATTTGGTATGGCAAATATTGTCCACCAATCGAGTCAATGAACTTATAAAACTTACATAGAAGTAAGCAATTGGACAACAACATATTTCAGATATCTCTGTTAAGATATTACTCACAGTGATCGGTTAGTTGGTTTGCCCTGGAGCTCGACCCTACACATTTCATGAACACAAAAGGGTCACAAACAATTTGATCCGTTCTAAATTCACATTTTCCTCTTTAGGCTTCATTATTATCTCTTTAACTCAATTACAATGCTCAATGCATGCCTAAGAGTACTTGGAAGTGAAAGATAACAGAAAATGAGACACAGAATGTCTTTTCAAAATTTCAAAAAACAGGGTCCCCGCTCGAGCGGACCCTTGAGGCCTGCAAAATTACTGGATATGTCAAATTTACGCTCGATCGCGAACTCTGGCGCTCGAGCGGAAGGCCTCTCTACATGGCTCCCTGCTCGAGCGTGAAATTACCCCGCTCGAGCGGACACCATGTCTGCAAAAAGTGCTGGATACGTCAAAATTATGCTCGGGCGTGAAGTCTGGCGCTCGAGTTGAAGGTCTGTCTATGTAGTTCCCCGCTCGAGCGTAAACTTACCTGCTTGAGCGGACATCCAAGTCTGCAAAAATACTGGGAGCACGAAATTCACGCTCGAGCGGTGGTTTCTCCGCTCGAGCGGACATCAAAATTCTAGAAAACCTAGAACATGTTCTTGAGCTTCAATTCGACATTCCATCCAACATTTCTTGCATACAATAGCTCAAACTTCAAATATACTTGTACTAACATGGTATAAACCCCAAATTATAACCCAATGAAGCTCAATTTCATGAATCAAACACATGCATGTCTCAAATTAATTCAAACTCATCACCAACACATTAGATTCAAACATGCAAGACTCAAACTCCCATGATTTGCACTTACATGAAAAATATACACAATATCCTCAACTTAATTGGTGAAGAGATGATCAAGTACATGGTCTTAAACCAAAATTTCAACATGGATCATACACATTGTGCTCAAATATGGAAATTCATAGTAATTTCTTACATGCATGCATCTATTGACTTTAAATTCAACAAATACAACTCAATTCCCTTATAATCAAACTAATTCGTGTTCTTGACCATTTATCAAACTTGAATCCACAAAATTACAACTAGAACTCATGAATTACTCACCAAGAAGCTTTAATCTTCACAATTTATGGCCAACCCTTGCACCTAGCCTTCCCAATTCACAATTCATAAGCAAAAATACACCAAGATGCCCCTTTTCTCTCTCAAGGTCGGCTCTCTCTCTTCTCTTGAGTTCAAAATCAGTCAAATGAAGCTAAAGAGAGAATTTGGGTGAAAGTGGCCCACTAAATAAGCTCCTCTAATCAAAATTCCTAATATTTAAATAATTGAACACTACCCCATTAATTTAATCCATTTAATTTGATCCGAATCAATTTTCAATTAAACTTCACCGTAGGCTCTAAAAATTATGCCGACCACAATAGCGTTATCAATTTCAGTTTCTATGGCCGATAAGGCCTTCAATTTAATTTCTAAAGCAGGCAATCAAACAGATATTGTTACGGTAAACAGATAGAAATTCAAAACCACATATTTTCACATAATGGCACGCAAAATCATATTAAACACATAATCATATTCATGTTAAGGACCAATTAGCATACTACAGAACAAGGATATTACATTTCTTCGCTCGAACGGACGTTCAAACAAGTGAGTGGTTGTTCTAGCACAACTTCCTTAACTCGAGTAGTCTGTAAACTCTGCAAAAGTACTAGTTGTGTGATTTTTCCTCTTGACGTTCGCTCGAGCGTGAGAATGAGGTCTTTGCTCCAGCGCAACTCTAGTTGCTTGAGTGGTCTGCAAAATGTGTAAACTTCTAGGAGCATGCATTTTACACTCGAGCCAACTTTTGGTCGCTTGATCGGAGGTGCAAAAACACAGAGTGGTCGCTTGAGCGCATAATCCATTGCTCAAGCGAAGGAGCAAAATTCTAGGATTTCTAGATTTGCTCCTAAACTCAAAACTCTAATCTAAAACTGCAAATCATGATCTTTTGGGCCAAAAACTTAAGGAAACTTGTATAAACTTGGCAAACTTCATGGATTCAAAATTATTTCGGAAAATCAAGGCCCAAAAACATGCCAATTGTGTGAAATCAAACTCAAAACTTGAAAGTATCACATACATGCAATGGAATGAGTTTAAAGCTTCCAAATCATAATCAAATTAGATCAATTGATGAAAAACATGGTAACCTCTCAAACTTAAGGTAGAATTGGCATATGCATGTGCGAATTGCTTGATATCCAAACTCAAAAATGTGATGAAGTGCATGCATGCATGAATGGCTCAATTATCTTCATTTATAGCTTCATTCTTTCGTTACTCTACCTAATTCTCTAGAGTTCATGGCCTAAACATCATAATTGTACAATCTAAGGGTTGAATTAGCTTTCCAAGGTAAGAGCTAGAGGGTTAATTCTTGAGTCTCTAAAGTCTAATGCCTTCAATTCCTAGTAATTTCTTTAGCTTGAGCTTAATCCCTCTCCAAAATAACTCTAAGCTCACTCTTCTCACTCTCCCTCACGTTTGGAGCTCAAAGAGGATGAAATGAGAGTGTGAAGTGTATCCTAGGGTTCTCATATGCCTTATATAGGCTCAACTATGAAGCCTAATTAACTTAAGTTAAAGGTAACTAATTGGGATCATTTTATTCTAATTAATTGGTTCCGAATTGAATTTCAATTCAACCTACCATAAATTCCCAAAAAGTCCAAATAATACATAAATCAAGTCAATTTCGTGATTGGATGCCGATAAGGCTTTCAATTCACAGAACAAAACAGAAATACAAACAGATATTCATACAACAGACAGATATAAACATGAATAATGCAACACACATGCAGTTAATTCAAAATTTCATCTTAATTACTTATTAGGCATCTTTAATCATGGTTTAGTAGTTAATCATAGGTCGGGGTTGTTATAGTCTTCCCCCCTTAAAAAGTTTGGTCCTCCAAACTCGAATTACCTTCGTTTTGGAAGAATACCAGATCCAACAGGAACAAGTCAGTGTATCTCTTCATCATATCTTCTTCAGTCTCCCAACTTGCATAAGTCCCTCAATGGTTTTGCTAATCAATCTTCACTAATAGAATTTCTTTATTTCTTAGTCTTTTGATTCGGCGATTAATAATCTGTATTGGCTGTTCTTTATAGGTAAAATCCTTTTTCAGAAGCTCATGAGTTGGTTCAATCACATGGAGCGAATCTCTCAAATATCTCCGAAGCATTGAGACATGAAAAACATCATGCATATGTTCCATGACCGGCAGTAAGGCTACCTGATACGTCACCGGGTTGATTTTCTCAAGGATCTCATATGGCCCAACATATCTCGGTGCTAGCTTGCCTTTTACACCAAACCGTGTTTGACCTTACATTGGAGCCACTTTAATAAACACATGATCCCCGATTTCATACTCACGATCTTTTCTTCGGATATCCGCATAACTCTTTTGGAGGCTTTGTGCGGTTTTCAAAATTTCACGTTTTTAGTCGTTTCTTGCACAAGTTCCAGTCCCAACAAGGGTCTGTCACCTACCTCAGCCCAACAGATCGGAGAACAGCATTTTCTACCATACAAAGCTTCATACGAAGCCATATCGATACTCGAATGGTAGCTGTTGTTATACACAAACTCGGCCAATGGTAAGTAGGTCTCCAAATTGCCTTGAAAGTCTAACACACATCCGTAACATGTCTTCCAATGTTTGAATCGTCCATTCAGATTAGTCGTCTGTCTGTGGGTGATAAGCACTGCTTAGTGTCAATTCAGTTCCTAAAGCCTGTTGTAAACTTTGCTAGAATCTCGAAGTAAACTTGGGATCTCAATTAGATACTATGGAAACTGGAACTCCATGCAATTTCACAATCTCATTGACATATAAGTTAGCCAACTTATCCACATTATACAAAAATTTGACAGGCAAAAAGTGGGCAGATTTAGTTAAACGATCAACAATGACCCAAATAAAATCCATACCTCGAGAGGAGCGAGGCAGTCCAACAATGAAGTCCATCATGATATGCTCTCATTTCCATTCTGGTATTGGAAGTGGCTGAAGTAATCCAGCGGGTCGTTGATGTTTAGCTTTTACCTGTTGATAATGCAAACACTTAGCCACAAAATCAGCAATACTCTTCTTCATTCCTAGCCACCAAAGATTCTGTTTTAGGTCCTTGTACATTTTCATATTACCTGGATGCCTAACAAATTTCGAATTGTGGGCTTCAGTCATAACACGTTTCCTTAAGTCCAGACAATCCGGCACACAAAGTCTATTCTGAAACTTCAACACATTGTTCTTAAACACAAACCTTGGCCTTAGTTTTGAATCAATCTCATCAACAATTTTCTTCAAGAACTCATCTTCAAGCTGTCTCTCTCTTATTTCTTCAATGATTACGGGTTGAGCAGAAATGGTAGCCAGGATTCCATCTTGTTCACGCAACACAATTTCAATCTCATTTCTTTCCAAATCATGTAACAATTCTCATTGACCAGTAAGTAAACATGACAAATTGCCAATGGATTTTCAGCTTAAAGCATCTACAACGGTAATGGCTTTCCTGAATGGTACACGATCTGCAAATCATAATCCTTTATTAATTCAAGCCATCGTCTCTGTCTCATGTTCAGTTCTTTTTGGGTGAAGAGATATTTGAGGCTTTATGGTCAATGTACACCTCACAAGTTATTCCATACAAATAATGGCGCTAGATTTTTAGTGCAAAAACCACAGCTGGAAGTTCAAGGTCATGAGTCAGATCATTCTTCTCATGTGGTCAGAGTTGCCGAAAAGCATAAGCAATTACCTTACCGTCCTGCGTTAGCACACACCCCAAACCTTTGTATGAAGCATCACTATAAATCTGAAACCCATCAGTGCCATTAGGCAAAGTTAGAATAGGTGCAGTTACCAATTTGGTCTTTAATTCGTGGAAAAATGATTCCCCTCGATTAGTCCAATCAAATGGCATATTTTTCTATGTCAACTGTGTTAATGGCAAAGTGAACTTAGAGAAGTCGCTCACAAATTTGCGATAGTAGCTAGCAAGCCCCAGAAAACTTCTGATTTTTGACACATTGGTCGGTCTTGGCCAATCTACAATGGCTTCAATTTTCTATGGGTCCATTAATACGCCATCCTTGTTGATCACATGTCCCAGAAACGCTATGTTGTCAAGCTAAAATTCACATTTGGAAAATTTTGCATATAACTTCTTTTCTCTCAAAATCTGTAAGGCAATTCTTAGATGATTTTCATGTTCCTCCTTGCTTTTGGAGTAAATCAGTATCAGTATATCATCAATAAATACAATGATAAATTCATCAAGAAATTGTTTGAAAACCCTATTCATTAGGTCCATAAACGATGTAGGTGCATTTGTTACCCCAAATGGCATTACCAAAAATTTATAGTGCCCGTATCTGGTTCTGAATGCAGTTTTCTCTATATCTTCTGCTTTAACTTTTAGCTGGTGATACCGGGATCTAAGATCTATCTTGGAGAACATTTGCACCCCCTGGAGTTGGTCAAATAGGTCATCTATTTGAGGTAACGGGTATTTGTTCTTAATAGTCACTTTGTTCAATTCCCGATAGTCTATACACAACCTTAAAAATCTGTCTTTCTTATTGACAAGCAAAACTGGAGCACCCCAAGATGATGTGCTGAGGCGGATAAACTTCTTGTCTAATAGTTCCTGAAGTTGAGTTTTCAATTCTTTCAATTCAAAAGTTGACATTCTATATGGGGTTTTGGAAATTAGTTGTATTCCAGGTATTACATCAATAGTGAATTCAATTTCTCTATCAATGAAGTCTTCAGGCAATTCAGTCGGAAACATATCGGGAAATTCAAAAGCAACAAGGATAGTTTCCACATTAGGACTAGCAGAAGTCTCAGTCAAAACACAACACATGTAACCTTTACATCCCTTTCTAAGCAGTTTAACGACTTTCATTTCCAGTGTTACTTGACGCCACAGACTCGGTGTTCTATACATCTCCAAGCATCAGTGTGAACAGTCTCTCTGGTTTTAACGTCTCATTTCTAGTGTTACTTCTGGCATTAGTTCTTGCATTTGACCTCATTACAGAAGCTGATCTGGCTGAACTTGCTGCAAGGCGGTTGGCATTCTCAGACCCGAGTGGATAATTTTTCATTATGTGACCAACTTTGCCACACCTGTAACAAGTACCAGATGCACGATAACACACACCTCTATGCTTCTTTCCACAATCCGGACAAACTGGAATAGTTCGACTACTCTGACTTGAGCTACTAGAAGGTCTCGTGTTTTGCTTCTTTGAAAACGACTGTCCCTTTCTGAAATTGAAGCCGGGTTTGTTTCCTCTGCATTTAGTTTTTGGAGCTTTAACTTGTTTATTTGCTGCTAGAGTAGCCTCTACCATCAATGCTCTATCACGCACTTCCACATATGTAGGCAACTTCAGGATGCCTACTCGATCAAACACATCCAAATCTAATCCCCTCTCAAATTTCTGAGCTTTCTTATAGTTCGTATCCGCCATATGAGGAACAAATTGGGCTAATTCCATGAATTTAGCCTTATACTCGGCTATAGACATTTTGCCTTGCTTGAGTTCTTAAAATTCAGAAACCTTTCGATCCTGGAAGTACTGAGGAAAGTACTTGTCGTATAAGATTTCGTTGAATTGAGTCCATGTCATGTTCCCATTATTAGTTTGGATTAACAACCACCATCTTTGAGCTTCATCTTTTAGGGTATAGGTGGCCAATAGAACTTTTTGAGTCTCAGAGCAAAGAAACACTTCAAATAGTTTTCCCATTTTGAGCAACAATGTTTATGTTTTTAAGGGTTCGATACCACCCAAGAAAGTCGGCGATTTTATCTTCATGAACTTCTGAGTTAAATTTATAATATTATTGTTATCCAGCTTAACTTGGACCGGAGGGGGCAGAGGAGGCGGAGGTTGTTGTCTTTACTGCTGTATCATTGCTTCAATGAGGGCTACGAGCATTTGTCCCATTCGGCTCATCTGAGGCTCAGAAGATTTAGCTGTTCCATCACTTCTTGTATTTTCCATTGCTACAGGTAAACAAGACATAATAAGCATAGGCAAATAGTTCTTTTCGCAATATTAGGCATATTCATTCCCAGTTTATTCATTTCAGTTTCTTGTGCTCATGTTCAAATTCAGTTTCCATATTTACAGAAATTAACACACACACTCGCACATGCAAATGAAATGTCCTTAATTATTTTCTAGGACATTATATAGCTCATACGGACTTGTGTGTGTGGTATAACACGTGCTCTGATACCACTCTGTCACGACCCAAATCCGCCCCTTTAGGTTTAGCATCGTAACTGGCCAGTAATCCTTAGATTACCGAAGGCCTCTGACCTGAATAACAAACTATAAGGGCTAACAGAAGCAAATATAGAAACATACATAGTCCATAGAGCTGTGTAGACATATATGGGACATAAACATTTAAAACTGATATACATAAACCCACGTATGACGTCACTTACATAACCATTCTTCGTCATCATAGTACAAAATATGGCAAAAGAACTGTTTACAAAACAACAAAAGTTCACAAAACTCGACCACTAAACTCTTTCCGGAACCTCCTCGGGACGCACAATGGTTGGCCAGCAAAACAGAGACTTCAAGTCATTAACTCTGAGCTTGGTCACTTACATACATAAATAATAGAGTGAGCTAGAGCTCAGTGAATAATAACAGAGTAAAGATTTTAATGAATGATGTCCAGTTTCGTATCATATCCATCAGAGAGATAAGCATGGTCGTATAAAAAATAGAGTCATGTTCATATTCGTATTCAAATCGTGTGTGGTACATCCATTAGTATTATCATATCACTTTGGTCAAGTATAGCAAGTTCCATAATGGAACCTCCAGTACCGGGTAACATATCTCATACATAGGCCACGGTATTATTTCCCCTAGGCGAGAGCCTAGGCCACGGTATTGTTTCCCCCGAGCGAGGGCCTCATGACCATAAGCCATAATATTATTTCACCTGGGTGAGGGCCTCTGCTAAGGATACCACAAAGACATTTCAAAGAATTGGATCACCATTCATGTAATCACAAAATAGCCCTTTTGTATCATTCAAAAACAGTTCATATCATATCATAATGTTCAGAAAGTATTACATATCGAACATAGCTTTACTAAGTTATTACTCACAAATTGTTGCACATATAGCTTGATAGCAACCAATGGATCAACAGCTCACGACGCGTGACCTACACAAACATAACAGATACACATATTGAAACATATGCTCGTGTCATATTTAGCTTATTTCATTTCGTTCCTCGTGTGTTTCTAAGTCTTGTCCTCATTATTGTGTCTTAATCATGGCTTAAGAATGCTTAGGATACAATGAGGATACCAAAGTGTTTTGAAAACATTTAGTCAATTATGCTAAAAACAAGGGTCTCGCTCGAGCGTAACTTTCTTTGCTCGAGCCGACGTTCAAACATGTGAGCGGTCGCTCGAGCGCAACTTCCTTCGCTCGAGCGGTCTGTAAACACTGCAAAAGTACTGGTTGTGTGAATTTTTTGCTCAGAACACACTCGACGGTCGCTCAAGCGTGAGACTGAGGTCTTCGCTCGAGCGTAACTCTGGTCGCCCGAGCGGTCTGCAAAATGTGTAAACTTCTGGGAGCATGCATTTTACGCTCGAACAAACTTTTGGTCACTCGAGCGAAGGTGCAAAAACATAGAGTGGTCGCTTGAGCGCATGATCCGTCGTTTGAGCGGAGGAGTAGAATTCTGGGATTTCTAGATTTGCTCCCAAGTTCAAACTCCAATCTAAAGCTGCAAATCATGATCTTTTGGGCCAAAAACTTAAGGAAACTTGTATAACTTGGCAAACTTCATGGATTCAAAATCATTTTGGAAAATCAAGGCCCAAAAACATGCTAATTGTGTGAAATCAAACTCAAAACTTGAAAGTATCACATGTATGCAATAGAATGAGTTCAAAGCTTCCAAATCATAATCAAATTAGATCAATTGATGAAAAACATGGTAACCTCTCAAACCTATGGTAGAATTGGCACATGCATGCAAGAAGTACTTGAAATCCAACCTAAAAAATGTGATGAAAGTGCATGCATGCATGAATGGCTTAATTCTCTTCATTTCTAGCTTCATTCTTTCATTACTCAACTTAATTCTCTAGAGTTCATGGCCTAAACATCATAATTATAGAATATATGGGTTGAATTCTTACCTAGGCTTTCCAAGGTGAGAGCTAGAGGGTTAATTCTTGAGTCTCTAAAGTCCAATTCCTTTATTCTTAGCAATTCCCTTAGCTTGAGCTTAATCCCTCTCCAAAATGACTCTAAGCTCACTCTTTTCACTCCCCCTCATGTTTGGAGCTCAAAGAGGATGAAATGAGAGTGTAAAATGTATCCTAGGAGTCTCACCTGCCTTATATAGGCTCAACTAATGAAGCTTACTTAACTTAAGTTAAAGGTAACTAATTGGGATCATTTTATTCTAATTAATTGGTTCCGAATCGAATTTCAATTCAACCTACCACATAAATCAAGTCAGTTTCATGATCGGATACCGATAAGGCCTTCAATTCACAGAACAAAGCAGAAATACAAATAAACATTCCTACAACAGATAGATATAAACATGAATAACACAACACACATGCAGTTAATTCAGAATTTCATCTTAATTACTTACTAGGCATCTTTAATTGTGGTTTAGCAGTTAATCATAGGTCGGGATTATTACAATCGTAAAACACATGCAGTGACTCAATCGATCATGAATGTGGCTTCGAGTAGGAGTCCACCAACAGACCAATCTTCCAACAAAAGCAATGGATCGAATCATAGCACCAGTTGTGGTAGCCCGTACCAATTTGCATCCCCAATAGTCGAATCATGTGACATTATTGTTGCTCATCAAGAATATGAATGTAACATCTTTCCTAATACCATTCACGATAACCACATTGTACAGGTGTAACGTGACATTAGTTTTTTGAATGACGCAATTGGCCACATCAATTGTGTTTTCATGATTAAAAAGTGCATTGCTCCTTACTGTTGGCAATGAAATCTCATATTCCTTGACGTTGCTTTCCATTGTATATGGTATTGTTGTTGGTGCAGTTTGATCGTCATAACCTAACATCCTGTTTGAAAAATTGATTATAATTACCACAATGGGGTCTATTTTTAAACATGCAGGGTATTGCATTCAATGTTTGTTTAGGTGTTTTATTATGACCACGCTTGGCTTAAATGAATTATTCACCGATTGAAATGTAACGAAACGGTGTACCGAATCAACATTACCCGTAACATTACAAACCCATATCAACGGTGCTAACATTGAAAATTGTACGCAAGACGTTTTATACGCCACTAGATGCGAGTTCTTTCCTGCCTCAAATGACATTTTCTACGTTTGACAAAAATATATCGTCCACCAACCCAACCACCGTGATTCACTCTCTCTTAGTCACACATAAAAAAAAAAAAAAAAAAAAGAAATCTTGCACACCTTACATTTTCAGAGCACAACGAATCAGCAGGGCTAACAAATGAATCACAAAAGGGTACACAAGTAAACTCAAATGGTACCAAATCAAATAAATACACCTTTCCAAAACTAAAGGACCATTCGATTCATGAGAAAACTCTTGGAATTAAATGGATCAATATTAACCCATATGGGATTTATGGATAATTTTTCCTTTTGAGTGGAACTTAAATGAATTAAAAATAGCAATGCTATAAAAACTGAATATATATTTAATACTTTTATATAAAATGATGTGTCGCATTTATATTTGTTGAAAATAAAAATTCCATTATTATTATGGTTCAATATTGCCACATATTTTTATATAGATATTTTTTTGGTATATAACTCTAAATACTTGGCAATTTTCATTAGAAAAAAATCATCATCCTAGAAAGTTGGAGTTCACAATGCATCTTCCTCGTCTTCTAATCTAAAATTACTACCTCATACCCCCGAAAACAAAGACTAGGAATCACAGCTAAAAATCATGGGGATGAAGAAATCAACAATTTTTTGTCATTTTACACCTAATAAATCATTGTATGAGACTCCCAAAAAAAGAAAAATGTCAAAATCCACGCCATGTACAAAAAGTATGTACGATTAATCCATTTGCATATTTTATCAGTATAACAAGCTGTGAACCCCCCCCCCCAAAAAAAAAAAAAAAAAAAAAAAAAAATGTAAATTTTGTTGCCATTAGAATCCAATTGACAACTCATCATCCAAAGCAATGTCCTAGTAGTCTTCTAACTCCACCTTTCTTTCTCATTGATCTAATGGTGATATATATTAATCGTATGATCCGGACAAATGAGAAGAGTGGACAAGAGTCAAGTTTGAATTGGAGAGGTGGAGAATATACCCACTAACCAATTAGGCTACTCCGTAAGGGGGCATTGTTGTTAGGTCTTTAAACTTGCTGCAGGATGTTTGTGTTCTTATTTTTTCATACCTCCTTATTTTAAAATATTTACGGTAATGAGATTATTTATCAAGATTATCATATAACCGTACGAGATTATTTACAAATACAAAGAAACCGACCATTTGATCAATTTAGGTAGTCTAGGCCCGAACATTAATTGAGTATCAATTCGAGAATATGAAATCGCACTCCAGCCATTTGTCTACTGCTGGTAGTCCAAACGGCTAATGAGAGAAAGAATTTTGTTGTGGTGGTTAAAGCTTGGGAAATCGCTAGGGTAGTGGTGGATTGGGGTGAGAGTTCTAGTGGATGGGGGTTACGGAGAAAGGGCTAGGGAGGTCAAGGAGGGGTGGTGACTATGCGGTATAGAGAGGAAGGGGCTAGGTGGCGGTAGTGACTATGTGAGGTGGAAGAGGTAGTGGTTAAGATTTGGATCGTTAAAAATGAAATAAGGTTGGGATTAAAATAGGTGTTCAAACAAAAAAGATTTATCTTTTTTTAAAAAAAAAATTTAGCAATAGAATATTCAGAAAAATGAGATGTCGAATAATATTTTCTTTTTTTAAAAAAGTTATAATACAGTCATATTAAATTAGAATTAAACATCCTATAAGAAGAAGAAAAAAAAAAAAGGTCTCAAACAAGAAATTCTACACAAATTACAAACAACAAAAGCTATTAAAAAAAGCAATTACGGTTCTGGAAAAATCAAATAATATTTTTAAAGTTCTTTAATAAGATGCCTCTTAGAAGATCATGTAGTTTTCAATATAAATTAATGACATAGAATCTTTAAATTGCCCTTTTTTTTTTTTTTGAACAACTACAGCTATTAGATTATGACTCGAGAAAAATTATGATTGGACGAAAAGGATGCCCATTCGGCAAAATTAAAAACAAAGGGGGCTAAATCCTCTAACAACTCTCCTCTATATATTGACAATGTCCTCTCGTTAAGTCATATATCAAAAAAATAACCAACACCCTTCAAACACATTCCACCCCCCAAACAAACCATTTATCTCAACTATGGCATCAAAACACCAACTCTTTTTCAATCTAGTCCTTATCTGTACCACCCTCCTCCCCATATCAATGGCCGGAGACCCCGACATCCTCACCGACTTCATAATCCCTCCCAACGCCATCGTCGATGGCAGCCTCTTCACCTTCACCGGCATGAGATCCCTCGTCAACTCACCGATACCGTCCAACTTCACCGTCCTCAAAGCAAGCATGGTCCAATTCCCAGCTCTCGAAGGGCAGTCCGTCTCTTATGCAGTTCTTGAATTCCCAAATGACTCCGTCAACCCTCCTCACACCCACCCTCGTGCCTCCGAGCTCTTGTTCCTTCTCGGAGGTTCTCTTGAGGTTGGCTTCGTCGACACCACTAACAAGCTCTATACTCAGACTCTGGAGTTTGGCGACATGTTTGTGTTTCCTAAGGGACTTGTTCATTTTCAGTATAACAATGGGGGTAATGGTCCGGCACTCGCTTTGTCGGCTTTTGGAAGTGCTAATGCAGGGACTGTGTCTGTTCCGACCACGGTTTTTAATACTAGTATTTTTGATGGGATTTTGGCTAAGTCTTTTAAAACTGATATTGCTACTGTTGAAAAGCTCAAGGCTGGACTTGCTCATTAGGTGATGATTGCTTTACAAGGAATGGAAGATGGATTGGTTCTCTTATTAGAAGTGAATAAAAGTAACCAATATGTTTTCTGATTAATGTATTTGGTACCGAATTCTTATGATATGTTGTTTGTAATTGGCTTTAAATTTCTTAGATGGAAAAATAAAACTTGTTGCAGTACAAGACTCCACTACTGGATACTTCCACTTGTGTAATAATATTTAGGGCAATTATGTTGGTAATTTTACATTTTATCTTGTGTCATTTAGATTCTTACACTTTCAATTACTTTAATTTTGATTCTTAATTTTGAATTTTGTGTTAACTTGATACTACCATTAGTATTTTTAAAAAACAATTATCACTAAATTGGTTGCGATTATAATTTTGCTTGTAGAAGTATGACACATATCACTTATGTGCATATTTTTTTTATTAAAAAATGCTAACAATTGTAATCAATTGAAAATTGAGATAAAATCATAAATTTATGATAAAAAACAAATTAATTGAAATTATAGGAACAAAAATGACACAAACTAAAATATAGAGACTACCGACATAATTTACACTATTATTTAAGATTACTAATATAATTTTCTCTTCAAATTCCATTGATCTCTATCACTCTTAATACATTTTTAATCATAAATGATTTAGTTGAATTTCAATTAATAATTTAATTGTTAAAAATAAATTGGGACAAAGGAATATCTCTATCACAATATTCACTAGCATTTATTACCAAAATAGATCGCATACTGTGCAGCATACAAGTGTTTTGTTTTTTTGGGTAAGTACATACCAAGTGTTGCATTATGTATTGTTTTGCAGTTACATATTTTAGTCATAAAGTTAAGTTATTATTATATAAAAAACAAAAAATTACTAAAACAATTTGTTCTTAAATGAGGCTACTCATGTAATTAGCATAGCACGGGTATAACAAATAATGAAAAATTAGTTCTGTGGAGAGATGAAAATTAACATATGTGAAGTGGGTCTACCCAGTGCCTACATGAAAATAGAATTAAGATAATGAACTAATAACTTGTAATATAATTTGTCAACTTGCCAAATTGCTCTGACATACATGCATTATATGGGTTTTGGGCCATACAAATGTCTCATTATCATTGGACTAAATTGGTGGCTTAAGTTCATTGGACAAAATAAATAACAAATTAACCTATATAAAGGGATGTAATCTTCAAACTCAAGGGGAAGAGGAGGTATGCCTAGCATATGATAGTAGTAAATATATTTTGTTTTATAAATTTCATAATTTTAATTTAGCATATGATAGTAGTAAATTACATTTGTTAATATACTAATTTTTTCTTATTTTGTAAAGCCTAAAAAATTATTGACTTAAAATTGTAAATTGTCTTATGTCATAACTCTTTCGTGAAAATTGATTAAAACTAACTTGTGATATTTGACTAAATATTAGAAGTGAGCTAAAAGCCAGTCGACTCAATATTTATGTCAATGTGACATTTACTTAATCATTAAAAATTATATTTATCGGTTCGCGACTAGTATGAGATAGTTTGGGGGTTCCAAAATTTGATTAAATATTAAAAATGAGCTTAGAAAATATAATTCGAGTCAATTTTTTTTTTCCAATAATTCTTGGTTTAAGCCTATAATATATCATATTTTAATAACTCAATATCATAAATAATAATAATAATAATAATAATAATAATAATAATAATAATAATAATAATAATAATCTTAATGTTTACAATGCTTTTTATCAATCAATAAAAAATATTTATAAATATTAAGAGAATTATATTTGAACAAATTCTAACATAAAATTTTTATTTTAAAATTTTAAGACTTACACATTTTCTTTGTCTCTATCACTAATGTTTGAGATAGCAACTAAAACAACTTTCAATCATTATTATGTAGAGATACATGTGTGATAAGAGTTTGTAATACAAAACTTTAGAAAGTAATATTAATTCAAAAAAAAATTAGAAAAAAGATAAAGAAATTTTAAAAAGTAATGTACCCAACTTTATGTTATATTTGATTATGGATTTAGATAAGAATTTGAAAAAAGATAAAATAAATAAATAAATAAAAAGAAGAAGAAGAAAATAGTAGGTGAAATATAAATGAAATATAACTATATCTTACCTAATTTCACACATATTTTTACTTTTTTCTTATAAAATGTATACCTAAAACCATGAATCAAACACATTATCAATATTTAAAAGGAGTTTTGAATCCTTTATTATTGATATAAATTGTCTATATAAAAAATAAAAAAAGTATAAAATTCTACCTTAGGTTATGGAAGCATAGCTTGGGGGTTTAAGGAAACAAAATTACAAGTTTAAAAATATATTTAAAAAAAGAATAAAATAGGGATCACGAGTTTTTTTTTTTTAATATTTAAAAAAAACAATTTAGAGATTGACTCACTTTTCAAACTATTTGGAAAACTAACCTGCTTTTTTAAATTGTCTTTTGAAATACAATTTAAATTCTCTAAATTGTTTTCTTTTAGAATATTTAAAAATAAAATAAAAAAACTCAAGGACCACGGGTCAGTGATCTTTTAAAAATCTTGGGTAAATTATACTTACACCCTCTGAGGTTTGAGTTAAACACACATCACCCTCTGACGTTTGAAAATTACACTAACCCCCTGTCATTGTAATTTTTTAGACGGAATGACGACATTGAACTCATATACTCCCTCTTTTCATGCTTTACTTACTTCCACTGTTTTTTTTTTTTCCCCCTATTTTCCTTTGCTTTACTTTTTTTTCAATGTAATTTTCTCTATTTTTTTACTAAGAGTTGTTGCCTTTTATATAAGTAAAGGAATTTGTGAAATGAGACTATTAACCACATGGGTGGGAACGTAATTTCTAAAACGTCAAGAGATGAAATGTAATTGGACCAAATCTCAAGGGGTCAATGTAATTTACCCAAAAATCTTTTAGTGAGATAGGTTAATTGGTTATGAAATTTTTTAAGATATGACAAAAACCAATAACTTTTTTATTATTTTTATTTAATTACTAAAATTAAAAAACTTCGAATGAAACTTTGACAGTTTCACCATCTTTATTAATGAAATGTCTATTTGTTATAATATAGATATATAGATTGGAATATCAATATATGTAAAACTATTAAACATCAAGAGAAAATTTATGAAAGATGTGAATTAATTAATGTATTTTAATAGTACAAAAATTTAAATTTTAAAACTGATTATGTAACTTTTCTTTTTAAATTTTTAAATGGATTAATTAATTTTTTTTTTTTTCTTTTTCAAATGATAAAAGATTTTATAGAAAATCAACCAATCCCAGTAATTAAAGCTGATCCCATCCCTCAACAAAGCAGATGATAGCCAAGAGGGGGAATAGAATTCCCACGTAAGGATGCCCTCGCCACCCACTGCTCGACGAGCAAGACAGCGCACCACACCATTCGCAGTCCGCCGGACAAATGGAAAAAGTCATTGATCAAAACGATTCCGAAGAATATTCAACAGCAATGATTCGAAAGATTAATTTTGACATTTTAATGGAACACTAATAATATGGTAAGGAAAAAATAAAAAAAGTAAAAAAACAAACAAACAAACAAACAAATCAACACTAAAATATCACATCACAGTGGATGAGGCCTATTGCTAGCTGATTAGAGCTGGCTTTAGAGTTCAAGAATTAGAGTTCTAAGCATTTTTTCACAATCAATTGGTGTATTTTTTTTTTAAATGTATAAATTAAGGTATAATAAGAATTTTTTTAAGATAATTTAATAAAAATTAGCAATTATAATTTTTTTTAATTATTTAAAAAATAAAAAATCTAGAAAAATAGTAGGAGAGTTTTGAGTTTCACAAAACTCTTCTCATTTGAAACACCTTTTTCCATAATATATACAAGCATATTACCTATGCTATGCACATGATAAAAAAAAATATTATTTAATAAAAATATAATAATTATATTTAATTTTTTTATATTATGTAAAAAAAAAGTTAAATTGAAGTTAGCCAATCGGGATTTTTTTAATTGTTAAAATTAAGAAAATCAAAAAAATTAGTATGAGATATTGATCATAAGACTTCTTACTAAAAATCTCATTTTGTTTATATAAATGGGAGTATAAAATTCACTTTATGTAAGTATAACAATTCCTTTTTTCCTTCTTTTCTCGATGTGAGATTATAAAATAAAAGTTAAATGAAAGTTAGCCAATAGGGATTTTCTTAAGTGTTTAAAAGTTAACAATTGTTTGGATGAAAAGTTTATTTCGAATCTAGCAATCTTAGCCGTTTAATATTTAATTAAGTCAATATTTAATTTATTTCGAATCAAATTTAGCCAATATATTTTGATAAAACCGCTAAAATCGCAATTAAACTAGTGAATTAGTCAAACCGAAAACAGTTAACCCTATAGCTAGGTCAAAGAACTAACCAACCTATACAAAAATTAATTAATTAAAATTTTCAAATTTTATTTTAATTTTAAAATTTAAATTGTCTTGAACTAAAACATACACAACACTACAATATTAAATGAGAGTACAAGATTTATATAGTGAAACAACTCATTTTTTCCTCTTTTTCTTGATGTGGGATTGTAAAATAAAAGTTGCCAGTTGTTTGGGTGGGAAGTTCATTTCTGATCAAGCAATCTTAGTTTTTCAATTTTTAATAAGGTCAATTTTAGTTTATTTCAAATCAAACAAATCTAAGCAATATATTTTGATAAAATAGTTAAAATCGTGATTAAACCAGTGAATCAGTCAAACTGAAAACGATTTAGCTTAATCAACTAAGTCAAAAGACCAACCAATTTACAACATAATTAATTAATTAAAACCTTTAAATTTTATTTTAAAATTTAAATCATCTTGAACTGAAACATGCACAATACTATAATATTAAATAAGAGTATAAGATTCACTTTATGTAACGCCCTCAAAATAATAACATTAAAACCCATCAACTTAGACATGCATTGGTATAGAAGATAAATATTCTTCTATTCATCAGAGTAGTTCCTTACAAAAGTATTACATGTTAACAACAAAAGCAAATGCCCTACGGGCTTACAACTTTCCAAGTTAACACTTGGTTACAAAAAGAAGAGTGCTAACTCAATACATATTAAGCCCTTGGCTTGAATTTACATGTAATGCATCAAAAGAAAGCAAATAACAAAGCAGTCTGTCGGCCTCTAGCCTCCCAAACTATGTCCTTGGAGGTGGCA